GGATGAGAAGCTGTCCTGATCCTGAATTATAACCTGTTACTTCCCTTATAATAAACCCCATAATCAAGATTACTGTCTATGAATTCTGTGTGGCCATTGTAATGAGTTATCAAACCCAGCAGAGAAGTAGAGAGTGCCATTGGAGGGACAGCTGGTGTTAGAATTGGTAAAAAGGTTGGAGGGCAGAGGTATGTTTGACCTCTACCTTATAAGAATCAGCCTTGGGCTGATGTGGGTAATGACAGTAATTTTCTTTCCTCCCCCTCCTTAAGTTAGATGAGGAGATCTGATGATGCCATTTTAAAATGAAACAAAACAAAACAAAAACCAAACTCACAGCCATCAAGTCAATTCTGACTCATAGCGGCCCCTTTGGGTTTCCAAAAGTAGATTTCTGAATCTTTACAAAAGTAGATTGCCCAGCTTTCCTTCTGTGGAGTGGCTGGCAGGTTTGAACTGCCAACCTTCTGGTTAGCAGTCAAATGCCTTAGGCATTATGCCACCAGAGCTCCTTGGTGATGCCACACCAGTTTTACAATACTCCTTTGGGTTCTGTCTTCAGCCTTCTTAACTTTCTCTAATACTCTCATAGATGCTCATGGCTTCAATTATTACTTAAATAGTGAGGACTCTCTTATATGTAGCACTAGTTTACATCTTCCCCCTAGCTCTTGACTCAATTGTTCAGTAGTATGAAAGACACTTCCATTTGGATATATCCCTTGGACACCTCAACTCAACAGCTCTGAAACCAGAGCTTCTGTCTACTCCCAGTCTCTTGGTTATCTAACCTCCAAGTTATTGAAGAAGGAACCTAGGAGGTGGCCTAGTCTTCTCTCTCAGTCTAACCCACTGATAAAGAGCACAGCCTTCAGGGTCTGACAGTGCTGAGTTCAAGCTTGAACTTGCCACTTGAAAGCTCTGTGACCTTGGGCAAGTAGCTTCATTCCTCTGTCTCATTTACCCTATCTTCTATATAATGGGGGCATTAACAGTACATACATTATTGGGTTAATAGGATTGAATGAAATAATGCATGTAAAGTGTTCAATATATCGTTAGCATATAGCAAGTGCTCAATATATGTTAGCCATGATTAATAATAATAATAATAATAATAATAATGTTGTTGTTGTTGTTGTTATGTGCTGTCGAGTCGGACCCAACTCATAGCAACCCCTCCTTGGGTTTCCAAGGCAGTATCACCATGGAAGTAGATTGCCCAACCTTCCTTCCAAGGAGCAGCTGGTGGGTTTGAACCACCAGGCTTCTGGTTAGCAGTCAAGTGCCTTAGGCACTACGCTACCAGAGCACCTAATAATAATAACAATAATAGACCTCTAAATAGTTGTTTAATTTTTTTCAGTTAACCAAGCCAGGAACCAGGAGACATCTTAGACCAGACTTTTGAACTGGTTCTTGATTGGTTCAGTCACAGCTAATGGAAACAAGGACAATGGACATGCTGCATAGTAACCAAATCTCTCGTGTTGGATTTTGACCTGAGTAGGAAACAGGCAGTGATGCCCTGCTCAAAGATGGCATCCGACTGCACTGCTTTGAATATGTGTCGCTGCTATCTTTGAGTGGGGAACCACTACCTGTTTCCTATTCAGGTTGTGGTAGTTATGTTTGTGTGTCAACTTGGCTGGGCTTGATTGAGTGGCTGGGCAGTTGGTGGTAGTAATTCCCCATGATGAGACTGGCAATCAGCTCCATGGTGGGTTCTACCACAAGCAGCTGAGTAGCTGCCTTTGGGATGTGGTCTGCTTCCTGTATATAAGCAGAAGGCTTGGAAATGGTCTCTAGCTTATGGCACACTTGAACCCTGCATGTAGCTGTGTTGTTGTTCAGCAGCCTGCCATGCTCTGCCAACCTTGGGATGTACAATGGACTTAAATTAATGGCCTTCCATGTGGTTTGGTAACATTGGGACTGTGCCATTTAATTTGTCAACCTTGGGCTTCTCAGCCTCAGCAGCCAGCAGCTGTCTGAGTGAAGAAAAGCCTCTAGCTCCAGTGGGTTGGGAGCTGGAGGCAGAGCTGAAGCCCAAGGCTGAGGGGCTTTCACCCAGCCCCTAGAGCTTGGCACTTTGAACTTGGACTTAAAGCCTTGAAATTGTAAGAATAAACTTCTGTTTGTCTAAGCCATCCCATTTGTGGTATATTCTTGTCAAAGCAGTACTAGGTAACCAGAACAGAATATGGTACTGGGAGAGTGGGGTGCTTGCTCTGACAGATGCCTAAAGTGTGGAAACAGGAGTGGAGTGCATCCTTGACTTGAGACCCTGGCAGAGAGACCCTGGCATATGGCATGAGAAACGGCAGGAGCAGAACCAAACACTGGTAGAGAGATACTGGCAGAGAGACCAGCATGAAAGACAGCAGTAGCAGAGCCCAGAGACTGGCATTAAACAGCAACAGGCTTACCAGCCCATGGAGGAGAAAGCCGGGTGCTACTGGGTAGGTGGCTTCCTGGAGGAGTGGGTTGCCTTTGGGTGTTAATTGGTAAAAGAGACCAGCATGAAATGGAGTAGCAGGTTGGCCGGTCCATAGAGCAAGAAAACCGAGTGCTTTTTGGGCAGGGTTTTCTGGCAGAATGGGTTGCCTTCAGCATTAATTGGCAGAAGCAGAAAGACCAAGGAAACGAAAGCAGAGCTGCCTCATCCTGAAAGGGTGGTAGCATGGCCTTTGGGGGTGGAACAACCACAGCCCCCTAGGTTTCAAAGAGCCAGGCCTTCACCAACTTGGTTCTGGAGTGTGGAGCTGCTCGTTCATGTGAGCTAGTGGGATGGACCCATAGCCGCTGCCCAAGAGTGAGAGGGTGGGCTGCCATGCTCAAGAGGGAGAGGAATGGGGCCTGCCAGGCCAATGGGGTGAGGTCACCACTTAGAGGAACTAGGGGAGTGGAGCCACCCAATGAAGATCTTACAGATGCTAAGTTGACAAGGGGTGGAATTGTGGTAGTTATGTTTGTGTGTCAGCTTTGCTGGGCCTGGTTGAGTGGCTGGGCAGCTGGTGGTAGTTATTCCCCATGATGAAACTGGCAATCAACTCCATGGTGGGTTATCTACCACAAGCAGCTGAGTAGCTGCCTTTGGGATGTGGTCTGCTTCCTATATATAAAGAGAAGCCTTGGGAATGGTCTCTAGCTTATGGTACGCTTGAACCCTGCATGTAGCTGTGTTGTTGTTCAGCAGTCTGCCATGCTCTGCCGACCTTGGGACTTACAATGGACTTGAATTAATGGCCTGCTATGTGGTTTGGTAACATTGGGACTATGCCATTTTATTTGTCAACCTTGGGCTTCTCAGCCTCAGCAGCCAGCAGCTGTCTGAGTGAAGAAAAGCCTCTGGCTTCAGTGTGCCAGGAGCAGGAGGCAGAGCTGAAGCCCAAGGTTGAGAGGCTTTCACCCAGCCCCTAGAGCTTGGCACTTTGAACTTACACTTAAAGCCTCCAAATTGTAAGAATAAACTCCTGTTTGTTTAAGCCATCCTATGTGTGGTATGTTCTTGTCAGAGCAGTGCTAGGTAACCAGAACACAGGTCAAAATCTTATACACAAGAGATGTGGTTTCTATGCACTGTGTACACTGTCCTTGTTTCCATTGGCCATGACTGAACCATTTTGAACCAGTTCAAAGCCCTGCTTTAGACTCTTCCAAGTTTTCCCCTCAACTCTCTACCCAAAAATTCATGAAGAATTCTACCTCCCAAAGCTTTAGTTCATGCCCTTCCCATCCTCTCCTGGACTTATTTCCAAAGTGGTACAATTGATATCTCTTTGACTCCAATTTTGTTCCATTCTAATCCATCCTTCACTCCAGTGCTTCTCAAACTTCCACGTGCACACAAATCACCTGCGGAGTGGGCCATGTTAAAATGAAGCATCAGAAGGGACTGGGAGGCCCCCGAGACTGCATGTCTAACAAGCTCCCAGGGGATGCCAAGGCCGCTGGTCCATGACCACAGTTTGCCTAACAATCTCTAGTCTTTCCCTACTTCTCTTTCTAAGAAACAGATCTAATCCTATTAATTTCCTGCCTGAAAATTTTTGATGAACTTCACAAATTCACCTAGACTATCTTTTCAGTCTGACTTCTTCCTGTTCTGTGTCATATAGCATATGCCTGGCCACACACAATATTCTCAAAATGTCCTGCATTTCCATAACTTTGTACCTTTGCTCATGCTGTTTCCTCTGTGTGGAATGCCCTTCCTTATTTTCCTTGCCTCTTAAATCCTATTCCTTTTCCCAAGGCTCAGCATAAGCATCAACTCCTCTACCTTAACCTCCTTGGCAAAATTATTCATGTTTCCTGCTGTGTCCCCTTAGCTGTGTTTACATCACTATAATAGGATGTGCTCTGCCCATTATAGTTAGCTGTATACACATCTGTCTTCTCTATTTAGATTTTAATCTCCTTGTCTTATCTGTTGTCTTTGTGTCCCAAGAACTTGGCACTGAGTAAACACTCAAATATGAATCAAGAGAAGGAAGTAGGGATGAAGGAACTTGAAGTCTACCTGAGCTCCTGTCTTCCAAACCAAAACAAAACTCACTGCTACAGAGTCGAGTCCAACTCACAGCAGCCCCCATTGGGTTTCCAAAGTGGTAAATCTTTACGGAAGCAGATTGCTCCATCTTCGTTCCTCAGAGCAGCTGGTGAGTTTGAACCACCAACCTTCTGGTTAGCAGTCAAATGCCTTAGGCATCACGCCACTAGAGCTCCTCTCCTGCCTTCCAGGACCAGTTAACACATCATGACCACCTTGTGGCAATGTACCAAAATTGCAGTTTCAATGTTTTGTGAAAGGCCATATGTACTTCTTTTAGAATCCAAATACTATAAACCTTGGAAATCAAGACCCCAAAAGAACTTGCCAAACAGTCGTTGCTGATGTCATCTCAGTTCTTCAGTATCCCTCTGTGTACAGGTTTCTGCATACAAAATGTAAATCACTCATATTGCAAGTCAGTGATGCAAGGAAGGCAGCCTACCTTCGGGTTTCTCTCCCACTGTTGTGAGTTCAGACTCCTGACTTGGCTCACTGGTTCCATACACATTGATTGCCCGCACACGGAATTTATACTCGCGGTCAGGCAACAGGTCCTGGACGTTAAAAGAGGTGCTGCGGCATGTGGCCAGGTCCTTCCACATCTTGTCCACCGAGTCCCAGATCTCAACACTGTAGGACTGTACGGCACTTCCCCCATCATATGAGGAGCCGTACCAGGACAGGGTCAGCGAGGAGCTCCGGATATCAGAGGCGCAAGGTGTGCCAGCTGGGGGGTCTGGCTTATCTGGGGATACAGAAGCACATCATCACCCAACACATCAGAATTGCAGGGAAGGAAATCTGAATTAGCTCTGTCTGCTGTGGGGGAGGAGCAGCCCAGAGAGCCCAAGTCAATGCCCCTAGCCCCTGCTTTCCTTCCTCTGTAACACACCATACACAGTCCTACCTAGGCACAAACCACCTATACAGAAAGCCCCATATACATCTATCTGCTCAAAAGACATTTTTTCTTTTTTTTGGCTAGTCTTTTAGTCTACAAGTCATGATTTCCTGTATTTTTCCCAAGTCATAAACATATTTCTCAGAGCAAACAGCTTTAGGAAGCTGCCCAGAGGCGTGGACTGTTTTTCATCACAAATATGTCTTGAGAGAGCAGTCCTCTCTCTGTGTGTGTTTGTGCTTGTGTGTGTGTGTGTGTGTGTGTGTGTGTCCTTCAGGCCTTAGGACAGTGACCTGTGATGCAACTAGGGGTCTGCCTCTGCTATATCTGGGACTTGGAAAATGTCTGCCCCACTGAGGGGCCATAAAGCACAACGGTTAGGCTCTGAAGTCAGACAGATCTATCTGAACATGGCTCTGTCCCTATTCACTGGCTGTGACTCTCTCAGTGCCTCAGTTTCCTCATCTCTAAAATGTGGATAATAATAACACTTGGACCACAAGATTGTTGTGAGACATTGTGAGAACAGTGGCTGGCTTGGTTACCCCTCACTGACATCATTACTGTAAGACTTCATTTCTACCTTTATAAAACTTAAAGTTTTCTACCTCTTTTACTGTCCAAGTACCAGTACAAAATGAGATAAACGATTGCAAAAGCAAACCAGTTTATAGCAGTTTTAATCATAATTGCCCCAAACTGGAAGTGACCAAGATGTTCTTTAAAAGATAAATTGATAAACAAGCTGTGGTACATCCATGCAATGAAATATTATTCAGCAATTTAAAAAAAAAAAGCTACCAAGCCATGGAAAGACATGGAGTAATCTTGAATGTATATTGCTTAGCAAAAGAAGTCATTCTGAAAAGACTATATAGTGCATGATGCCAATTATATTGCATTCTGGAAAAGGCAAAGCTATAGAGAGAGACAGTGAAAAGATCAGTGATTGCTAAGAGCTCAGAGGTAGGGGAGGAGACATGAATAGGTAGAACACAGGGCATCTTTGGGACAGTGAAACTATTCTGTGTGATACTGTAATGGTGGACATATGACATTATGTATTTGTCAAAACTAATAGAACTATGGGAGCTCTGGGAGCTCTGTAATCTTTATGGAAGCAGGTGGCCAGGCCTTTCTTTCACAGCACCTCTGTGTAGGTTTGAACTGCCAACCTTTAGGTTAGCTGCTGCTGCTGTTGTTATGTGACATCGAGTTGGACCCGACTCATAGCAACCCCTCCTTGGGTTTCCATAGTGGTATCACTATGGAAGTAGATTGCCCAACCTCCCTTCCAAGAAGTGGCTGGTGGGTTTGAACCACCAACCTTCTGGTTAGCAGTCAAGTGCCTTAGGCACTATGCTACCAGAGCTTCTTTTGGGTTAGTAGAAGTGTGCAAACTGTTTGCATATACATATATTAATTCTTGCCCCACCCCTTCCATACTTCTATATTGCAGCCAAGAATGCACTGCCTGGAAACTCTCTCCCCAGCAACTCCAGCCTGGCCCCCAGCCCTGGGAATAATCTGGAACTGTGACAGAGCCACTTCTCAGTCTTAGCAGTCACCCTGCAGGCCTTCTGTGATAGAACCATTTTCACTAGTTGTTTAATATGTTCTCTTAGAAAAACTGTTTGTTCTGAAAGATATATTGGTCTTTTTAGAAACATTTCTGGTGTTGGCTAAGTTGTTTATTACTCTAAACTCTCTTAGAGGCAAGTGGTTCAAGTCCTCTCAAGACCCAGAGAAGGAAGTGAAAAAGCCTAAAGAGGGATGAAAGACAAACTCATTGCTTCCTCCAAAGAAAACTGTCTGGAAAATATCTGGTTGGACAAATTTAGAATCATGTAGGTTTATACAATGATGCAGATACACAGCACTGATGGATTTCCTCCCTTTCTGCTTTGGTCAAGAAAAGGGAAACTGAGAAATGGGCATTGCAGAAGAAGTACTGTTTGTACCCTACCCTTTTACAGATGCCTCTTGGCTGAAAAAGAGAGAACTGGCACGTGGCATACATCACAGCCTGCAGTACAAGAGATGCTGCAAAATAGCGGAGGAGAGACTTTAATTCCAAGTGAAACCTCAATGCTTTCAAGAAATTTTATACCATTTAAGGAGTTCAGGAAAGACCCTAGAGTCTCTCTCTCAGAAGTCAAATGAGACTGGAAGCTCTCAACTCCTCACCCTGTACCCCACAGCTGTACCTAAAGCCTTCTGTTCTTTCCAACCTACAATGCCTCACATAGAGGCACAGTAGACAGGGGTGTAAACCCACTAAAGGGATGTCCTCAAAGCAGAGTTCCTAGGAGCTTCCCCTCCATGGCAAATACCCAGACACACTCAGACTGAGAGGGAGACCCAGGCGTGGGCTGGCCACTGAGAAGCTGGCTGGATGTCTAGGGCCCATAGCTCCTCGGCTTCCTTAGAATTCTCCCATGGCTCTCTGGGGACTGGACCAACAGAATGGGAAATGCTGCATCTAACAGAAGGGTCTCAGATGGCACCAGCCCCAGGATTTTCCACTCAGTAAATATTCTTATTCTTGAGAAAGTGGAACATCTTGTCTCCACAGCCTTGCCCAAAAGTAAAAGTCTGTGCAGTCTCCATGTGCCTGCATGTTTGAAGATGATCTGTGGCCACACCTGACCCTGCCTGGATGCCCCTCCACTCATTGCCTCTGGATCTCAGCAAATGGCCCCCAGCAGGCATCTGTCTAGGTCAACTGCATCCCAGCCAGAGAAGGAAACAGGCCCTCAGAGACTAAGCCACTGCACTTACCAAGAAAACCTAGCAAGGCAGAGCCAAAAGGAATTCCAAAAAATCTGTAGGGCCCAGCTCCAGGGCTTTTAATCTTCCAGGCTATTAGGCAGAAAATGATCAAGAATGCATCTTGATTAAGCCTGAACCAGCATTATGAAGGGAAATCTTCTGCCCTTAAAAATCAGGCAAGTTCCACACTCAGTCAGTATTTGGAGGATGACTGGGTATTTGGGGTTTTCTCTACTTTGTTTTTCTCTTTTGAAGACATGCAAAGAGACCTGTTGTTTTCTCATGCCGTGTGTGCTCCATTAAGGAATTCATCACCTGCGCCACGTGGCTCTGCCTCTTACCTCAGGTAGGAGACAAGCCGCTCAGGTTGCAGCAAGAGCTCCCTGGGCATCACAGGTATCTGTACTGCCTTTTATAATACAATAATAATACTATGACTCCAAAATAGCTAAACATCACCCACCTGTCAGTTTATGCTAATATGATGGCTTGCACGTTGCTATGCCACTGGAAGCTATGCCACTGGTATTTCAAACACTAGGAGGGTTGCCCACAGTTTCACTGGAACTTCTTGACTAAGACAGATTAGGGAAAAAGGCCTATTTCAAGAATCAGTCAATAACAATTTTATGGATCACTCCAGAATATTGTCCTGTATGGTGCTGAAAGATGACCCCATTTAGGTTGGAAAGCAGTCAAAATACACAGTGGTGTATGACAGCTTAAATTCTAAAGCACTTGGAATTGTGGAAGGATATGGTCTACAGTGGAAGCCCTAACTCCATTTTGAGGCATGACCTCAGTTTCAGATTCCATTTGGGTTCTTTCTGACCGTTAAGTCAGCATCATAGCTATGCACATACAAGTTCTAGGACAAACCTAGGGAAGAGCAGTTTGCCTTCAGGAGTGTGGTTGAAAGTAGATTATACTCACACAAGGAGCTACAGAACTTGTCTGAGACTGTCCTTTTCTAATTTAAATTAAAGTTGGGGTCTTGGTTTTGTTTAGTAGCCACCTTGTGGCTAAGACACAGGCTGCATGGTCATGAGTCACAGCCTATCCTGACCACCACCTAGCCAGGAAGTCAAGACCCAGAACCAATCCTGTAACCTTTTTCTATTTTCAGTTAGGTGGCATTGTGCCTAAGGCATTTGACTGCTAACTAGAAGGTTGGAGGTTCAAGCCCACCAGCTGCTCTGCAGAAGGAAGACTGGGCAATCTACTTCCGTAAAGATTTACCGCCTTGGAAACCCAAAGGGGGTCACTATGAGTTGGATTTGACTTGATGGCAGTGAGTTTGGTTTTTCATTGGTTTTGTATCCTAATCATGGTCATTTCCCTGCTTCTGTAGTCCTGCCTACAACAGTGATGAGTCTATCTACCACCAATCATGATTCTGTGGTGATTCCCTGTTTTTGAAAATCATATATAATTAGCCACATGTGCATGACTCAGCAGACTCCATTCAGCTTTCTTATGCTGACGGTTTCCTCATCCAGGATGACTGTCTTTGTCCTGTCTAAGACTTAATAAAAATGTCTCTACTAAACCTGTTTGAATTTGGTGTCTCTTTTCCCCAATGGACTAAAGCATACCAATGATAGTGACCATGGTGCAGAGATGGTTAACCTGTTGTTTTGTTGTACATTGGGTCACTGTGAATTGGAACCAACTCCTCAGCAACTGACAACTCCTCATTCAACAACATCAAAATAGCTAAACATCACTAATTTAAACTAACTGAGGGATAGGGCAACTTTTATTATTATTGCAAACCAGCAGTCATAGACTATTTGAAAAGAAAGTGGTGTTAATTTAAAGAACATACAATGAGAGAAGTTAACAAGTGTTAAGTTTTATTCAACTGGCCTTATTTAGCTGGCCTGTAACTAGAGGTTTCTAAAGTGTTTGATAACTGTCCTGTGTAGGCCAAACAATTCCTGTTTAATCTCATTTATATTTTATTTAATAGACCCTGATCAGGTAATACACAGATGTCTTTAGAGACAGACAGGTAAATCTGAGCTTATCCAGCTTTACTTTGGACTAATTCTGAATATCCATTGGCTCTGAATGAATGTGGCTTTGCTGTAAACATCAATGTGAGTCCTCATTTTATTGAGCAATTCTATTCTTAGCTCTACGAGGGGGAGGCAGACAGAAAGCCCCATTCCCCTCCATTCCATTCCCCTCCCAGGACGGCATTTAACATGCTGCTCCTGCCAGCTGGCGGGCAGCCACACCGATGGCCCTGTCAGCACTGGCCTCGAGAATAAGAAACTCAACCATAAAAGGCCAGAACCACAGCCTGTGCAGTGATGGAGGAGGGGAGTATATGTCACCAGAGTGGGGGGGTGGGCAGGGGCACTGGTTACAGAAAAGCAGCTCAAAGGGGCTGACCCTCAAGTCACCTAAGCAGGGCAGGTACGAGTGGACACTGTTTGCTGACAGGATGGAGGTGTGGGGCCAAACCTTTCAAATGTGGTGCAGGCAAACTGGTTACCAGCACTATTTCCCCAAGTCCCACTAAAGCCCTGACTCCTCAGGGAAATTACTGAAATGGCACCTGGAGTCATCAAAGAGAGAAAAAGTGAGTAAGAAAAGGACCCTGCTTTTCTTATAGATGAGAAAACTATTTGCCCATGCTGGGCCTTTTCAGATTTAAAACTCTTAAACCAAAAAACAAAAGAAAGGGGGTCAGAGGAAGACAGGATAAGAGGGGAAATGGGACAGAATGAAGGACACTGAGAAATACTGAAACGGAGTATGGGGTAAGGAGATAAAGGCTATGGAGAGGAGTAGAGAGAGAGAAGGTGAACAGATCCCAGAAGCATGAACTGTGAGGAGAGGGAGTGACACCGGAGCTCAGTCATCTTCAACTTCCTCTCCAGTTCTCGTGCCCAAGAACAGTCTGGGGTGGGGACTGTAGCACTTCCTGTCCAAGAATCAGGAATCTATGGTCTGTCCTGGCAGCTGGCTTCAGCGTGGCTCACTGGCCTCCTCCAAGTCTGCTTCTCTTTATCTTTTATTCCTCTATCTTCCCTGTTCTCATATGGGTTAGACAAGGACTCACTTCTCCAACTGCTTAGGGGCTGGAGGGAGATGCTGGAGGGCTTGCTGAGGCTCAGTGTTAGACAAATGAGGACATCAACTTGCTCTGGCCTAGCGACAGCTCCTCAAAAGGCCCATATGTCACCCTCAAGATGAATTTTCCAACCAGAGAATTCCTACACCTTTCGGAACATTCTGTGCCCATTCGCACCCCCTTCTTCCAGGACTGGCATCTGAAAGACAGATGTTTGAGAATTTGTTCCCACTTGGTCCCTCATGAACTGTTTCACTTTGCTTTTACTGGACCTTAGTTTCCCCTTAGTGAGGCTGGAACACCCAGTCCTGTCCATCCTAGTCCTACGGTGAAGAGAGAACATGAAGATGGAGGAGGAAAATTCTGGGACAAGGGAAGTCGTAGAATGTCAGGGCTACAAGGGACCTTAATAGTCACATTTCTCCAACTTTCAACTTCATGCCTAAATTCCCCCATAGGAGAAATTCCAGGGGAAGATTTCTAACAACTGTAGCCACAGGAGTCCCAATTACTTACAGCATCAGGAACACACAGAAATGTCTAGCAAGACAGGGAACATAGGGCAGGACCTCCACACAGTTGAGTGGTTTGTGCATTGTAAAAAGGGGTTGGCTGAGGGCTCTAGACCAACCTCTGCTCTCCAAGGCTAAGTTAAGAGGCCTGATATGATACTGGGGGTACAGCCTTTTCTAATCACTCTGTCTAGAGGAGACCCTTTTCCTAATTTTCACAAAGTACCATATAAGCTTAAAAGTCAAGGGTAAGGGGAACACCCCTGCATGGGTCTCTTGCATATACCAATAAACACAGGCCAAAGACTCTCATGAGCACACATATATGCAGGCCCATACACGAGGACACAGCCAACCATCCGTCTGCCCCTTCCTTCATCTGTCTGCTCCTTTGCTAGGCTGAGCACCTGTCACTTGGGGATCAACTAGAACAGAGCATGATGGACAGCAGGAGACCAGGAAGGAAGATACTTTGATATTTCAAGAGAGAGCTGACCCTTTGTTGTCATCAAGTCAATTTCAGACGCCAGGTGACTCCATGTGTTACAGAGTAGAATTGCACCATGGGATTTTTTTGATCATGATCTTTATGGAAGCAGAACGCAGGCCTTTTTTTTTATGGTAGTGCTGGGTGGGTTCTAACTGCCGAATTTTAGTAGTTGAGTGCAAACAATATGAGCCATCCAGAGACCTGAGAACTGACCAGGGCATGAAGAACACAGGGATTTGGATGGAGAGGAAAAAAGTGAACTTGAAAGTCAGTCAGAAGACAGATTCAATACTGGGAGTAGGAGATGAGGAAAAGGGAGTGGAGGACTACAAGGTCATGGTGACCTCAGAGGCCAGGCTCAGAGGACTAAGGGGGTGTGGTGGTGTCTGTAGGGAGCTGAAGAGGCAGCATCAGAGTAGAAACTACCCTTTTCACAGAGTTTGGCTATGAAGAGAGAGAAGGAGATATGGTTAGGGTGGCTAGAGCAAGATAAAATATTGTAAGAGTAATAAAAGTAATAAAAAAAAAACCCCAATAATTTATGAGTGGATACACAGGTAGATAAGTAAGCTGAACAGGGATGGGATGGCATATGGGAGTACACCCAAGAGCATATATAGTCTTGGTGGAGGGTATTTCTACCTACAAATTTGTATGTGCTGCATATATATCTAGGTGTAGAGAATAAAGGGGCAAAATTATGTAAACTTCTTACTTATAACCAAACACTTTGAGGGACTGAGTCACTGGGCTTAAGAGCTTAAGACCACAGATAGTTTCAGGGGACATCTAGCTCAATTGCCATAACAGAGTTCATAAAGACAATGTTCTACATCCTACTTTGGTGAGTAGTTACTGGAGTTTTAAAAGCTTGTTAGCAGCTATCTGAGATACAACTATTGGTCTCTTTACTTCCAGAGCAAAGAAGAGTGATGAAAACCAAAGAGTCAAGGAAATAATTAGTCCAAAGGACTAACGGATCACATGAATCACAGCCTTCACTAGCTTGAGACCAAAAGAACTAGATGGTGCCTGGCTACCACTACCAACTGCTCTGATTGGGATCATAATAAAAGGCCCTGAGCAGAATGGGAGAAAAATATAAAACAAAATTCAGAATCATAAAAAGGACCAGACTTACTGATCTGATACAGAGTGGGACAACCCCCACCAAGACTATGGCCCTCAGGCACCCTTCAAACCTGGAACTGAACACATTCCTAGAGGTTACCTTTCAGCCAAAAAAGACAGGCCTATAAAGAGAACCATAACACTCGTGAGGAACACACTCCTCTGAACAATCACATGAGACCAAAAGGGTAGCATTTGCTCAAAAAACAAAGTTCAGAAGGCAGGAAGGGGCAGGAGAGGTGGGTAAATGGACATGGGAATTCAATGAGGAAGTGGGAAGAGTGTTGTTACATTGAGGGGATTGCAGCCAATGTCATGAAACAAATTGTGTACAAATTGTTGGATGGAAAACGAATTTGCTCTGTAAACTTTCTCCCAAACCACAATAAAATGTTTGAAAAAAAATTTGCAGGGGTTATACATGGTTGGTGTTTTTGACTAAGACTGGAGAGCAATATTTATGGACTGCTGGGAGGAGCCAATGGAGGCTGAAGAGAAGATGGAAGAGGGGGAGATGAATCCCAAGAACCTGGGATCAAGAACACAAGTGCTAATCTCAGGCTGGAGAAAGGTGGGCCTGGAGGAAGAAGTCAAAATGGGACTGATATAGAGAGCGTGTGGGTGTGGGGCAAGATGTTGAAAAAATTCATGCCTGATGCCTCATATTTCTCAGAAACTACAGGCCAAGGCCTGCAGGCTTGAGGAACTTGAGGAATAGCTGTCTTTGAGAATGGGTGAAGGTGCTGATCATGGACAAAGAAGAGGATTTCTGATCAGCAGAGATGCCTCAGATGACCTCAGCCTGGAGGTCCCCAGAGTCCAGCATGAGTCTGCAGGTTGATGCAATCTTCTTCCTGCTGTGCCCAAAAAATCAGGAACAGGAGCAGTGACGTTGGAGGATAGCATTGCTTCAAAGTGAGACTTTACACGAGAACTAAGACAGTGGGGGAGGCAGCGGACAAGAGGGAGAGGGAGATGAAGGTGGTGGCCAGAGAGGCCTGAAGTAGAGGAGCTCAGGGTCTCCAACAAGTAGAAGGGGAGAGAAGCCAGGAGGAGATTCACAGGCAAAGGAAAATGCTTAGGAGTATCTGGGATCGGGAGCTCCAGATGAAGATGAAGGATGGGGCAGTGTGAAAGTGTTGGGGAGGAAAGCCAATAGAACAAGAGGTTGTGGACAGAGAGGATGGGGTTCCAAAGAAGGAGCAGGACCTTGATGATGAAGTACCGGGGATCAGATATCCTGCCTGGGGGCTCACTGCCCTCCCTATACCCAACCTCTGTGCCAGCCTGCTCTAGACTCACCCACCACCGTGAGGTTGACCTGGGCCTGCCTGCAGCCCAGCTTGTTCTCCACCAGCAGTGTGTAGCAGCCGCAGTGCTCCTGATGTGCAGCCAGGATGGTGAGCTTGCTGCCATTCTCGCTGTTCTCCACCTTGATGTGCTCACTCTCCTGGATCTGGGGGCAGAGGGTAGGGCAGGCATTGGAGACTTGGGTAAGGAAAGGAATGGAGCTCCTGCACCCCCCTCCCTAAGGGATGCAGCTTGACAAGCTGTGTGGGGCTCAGTGTTGCTTGGATTCTGAGCTTCCCCCAGGGCTCCTCCTCTCCTGCATCCAGAGCCAAGTGTCCCTGAGGGTGTCCAGATCTGGGCAGGCAGGGAGGGTGCTGAGCAGGGCCAGGGTTGATGAACCAAGTCAGCATTTACAGCTACCAGAATATAGTTCAGGAGTGTCCCAGTCTCTCTCCAAGGCTCTAAGATGGGACTATAGGAGAACATATCTGGGCATAGTCACCTATAAAAACTATCCCAGTGGGTTCTGTGCTCTCGTCTGTGCTGTCCAATAAGGTAGTCACTAGACACATGTGCCTATTTCAATTTTAATTAATTAAGTGCAAAGAACACAATGATTCATCAACTGATGAATGGATAAACAAATTATGGCATATCCAGACATTGAAATATTATTTATTAAGAAAGAAAGAATAAAGTATAGATACATGCTACAACATGGTTGAACCTTGAAAACATCATGTGAAGTGAAAGTGGCCATGCACAAAGGGCCACACATTGTATAATTCCACTGATATGAAATGTCTAGAAGACGCAAATCCATAGAGACAGAAAGTAGATTAATGGATTGCCAGGGTCTAGGGGGAGGAGAAATGAGGAGTGATTGCTAATGAGTATGAGATTTCTTTTTGGGGTCACGAAAATGTTCTGGAATTAGGCAGTGTTGATGGTTATACACCTTGTGGATATACTAAAAACCACTGAATTATATACTTTAAAATGGTAAATTTTATAGTATGTGAATTAAATCTCAACAAAGCTGTTATAAAACTTTTAACTATATAAAATTAAAAATTCGGTTTCTGAGTTGCACTAGCCACATTTCCAGTGCTCAAAAGTCACATGTGACTAGTGGCTACCATACCAGATGGCACAGATACAGACAATTCCCATCACTACAGAGAGTTGTTGGATAGAGCTGGGACTTAGCCAAAGGTCTCTGGAAAGAGAGGAAATTCCACCTTACTTCACCCAACAGTAGCCCAGACACAGCTCAGGGCAAGTACGTTTGGAATGTCAGAGGCCAGCTGTTGAGACCAATTCTCCTTTCCTTCCTGGTACTAGCCTCCCATCTCTGGGCCTGAGGACAATTTGAGTACTTTGGAAACAGAGCAACGGAGGGCTAAGAAGTGATCTTCACACCTTCTGTAGCATTCTGGATCCAATGTCAGCCTCACCATCCTGGGGCCTCTACCCACTATGCATATAGGCACACATGATCAATAAGCTATATGGAATGGCCAGGCTCTGCAACTTCCTCTGAAAGCTGATTGCTTGCAATTCAAACATTTTCCTTTAGAAATGTTATAAATGGCAGTTTGATTTCTGGGGCAATATTTCAAAATTCATGCACGACTTATCTAGACAAATACTCTGATTCATTTTTATCCCTTCAGTACATGGTAAATTTCTGTTGTTGTCATGGATAGTATTCACTGGGCTGGCATAAGAATCACAGATTGCTCACAGGGTCTGAGAGTTCATCTTAGATTACTTGGTTCGATTTTTTTTTGACTGAGTAGGATTCTAGAGTGAGATATCAAAATCAGATAAGAATCATGAATGTTTTTTCTCTATTATACCAATTGTCTACAAAGCAGGTATAATTTGTAGATGTTGAAAAAAAGGTTATTAAGAAATCAGACTTGGTGGGTGGATGATGGATGGATGAGGGGTCTCTCCCATTTCTAAGGCTCCTATGATAAAGAATGATTCAGGCTTAAGTGTTTCCATTACAACATTTCCCATCAGCCTGGGGGCTGGGTGGGTTATTCTCAGGTCAGCCCTTTCTGTTACTGACCTTCTTTCGGAACTTCATCCAGGTACAGGTGATGGGCTGAGTGCCTGCCACTTTGCCAAAGAGCTCCACGGACTCTCCAGCACGCACCTTTTGGTCTTCTGGGAACTGGATGATCTGAGGGGGCATAGCTGAGAGAGAACAAATAAAGTGAGGAAAAGAAGGCGGCTCAGTCATTCTGATCTCATTTGACACCACTGTCTATGTTGGTCCACTGGCTCCTCTGCAGCCTTCTGGCATCTTCAGGGTAACACTAAGCGCAGTGACCATTGCTCAAGAACATTTGAGCTGATAGACTCACCAGGTTTGCTCATCCCTTTATTCTGATTCCTTCAGAAGTGACCACACAATTTACATGGGATCTTCTCCATTTATTGGTTGTTCTGGCATTTGTGTCTTACCCTAATTTTCTGAATCTATGTTCTAACACTTTTATTAATTAAGCAGAGCCTTGTCTTCTAACCTCCAGGTCACCCTGGCTAAAAGGCTCAATACAATTCATGTCCTCACATGTCTTCCAATGGAAAACAGACTGGAGCCGCATAAGAAAGAAAACAAAACCAAAATAGTTGTCATTGGGTCAATTCTGACTCATGCAACCCCATGTGTGTCAGAGTAGAACTGTGCTCCACAGGGTTTTCAATGGCTGGACTTTTGGACCATACCTTTTTTACAAAATGCTTCTAAAAAAAAGTTCCACTGTCATTGAATTTTGAGCTGATTTTGACTCATAGTGACCCTATAGGACAGAGAACTGTCCCAGAGGGTTTCCAAGGCTGTAAGCACACTGCCTCATCTTTCTCCCGCAGTAGAGCTTGTGGGTTCGAACCGCTGACTTCTTGGTTAGCAGTTGAATGTTTTAACCATTGTGCCACCAGAGCTCCTTGATGGCCTCTAGGTGGACTCAATCTTCCAACCTTCTGGTTAGCAGCCAAGCACATTAACCATGTGCACCACCCAGGGATGTAAAGAACAGAGCACTCAGCACAAAGTAGATAATGCCCATAAGGGGCAGAGTGGAGGACAGAAGGTTAGGAGAATGGATGGGAAAGTAGCTAGCCCTGTGCAATGTTCCCCACATAGGGGGAGGAACAGATGGAAAGGGAAATTGTGGAATAGGCTGAGGGACCAGGCTGTGCAGGGGCTTACAGGGGAGAGCAGGCAAATCTGGCCTGAACAACACAGAGCTTGAGTCAGAGAGGAGGTAGCAAACCACTAGGATCACACACCCAGGTGGCCAGTCCAGCAGAGCAAAGGAAAAATACCTCGTGACAGGTGACCCCTTTGTTCCCAAATGTTGCTGTGACCAGTTACCTGCCTTCGGAGGTGTCTTGGGGGCTGGTTTCTTCTTCACAGTTGCATCACCTAAAACAAAGACATTCACAAGTTATGTTCTGTTAGTTCTGTTTTTTTCCACAAAGCTGCTAAGTTCTAAAAAGATATAGTCTTGCCCACTGCCCCTTCATCCAAAGAGAGCCCTCATTTTAATATGTTTCTGGAGAGTTCCTTTCATTCTCCTTAGACAACCTCACAATCAAATACTGACTCTCAAGGGGAGTTCTGGGCGGGTTTCTGGAGCCTCCAATAAGATACAGACTCAAAAATGCTTTAATTCAGCTACAATCCCAAACTCACTATTCTCTCTGACTCATAGCAACCCCTCCTTGGGTTTCCGAGACAGTATCACTATGGAAGTAGATGGTCCAATCTTCATTCTGAGGAGTGGCTGGTGGGTTTGAACATCCAGTCTTCTGGTTAGCAATCAAGTGACTTGGGCACTATGCTACCAGAGCACTGTCTCTGACCTTAGTTTTCTGGAAACTCAGAAAGGAAATTATGTCAGATAAACCAACAAAGCTAGCCTTTTGTGTTCAAAGGTCTCAGGCTTCCCTGAAATCACAGACTGTGGACTGGCTACTTTCATCTTTTAATGTTTATTAAATGGATGAATGAATGAGTGAACAAATGAACCAACTAACAGTCTCCTCTCTCTCTGCCTCCACTTTCTCCAAGTAACTCCAAATCAATGAGAAAATGACCCAAATAGACCAATTTTACAGCACAAACCTATTCATTTGGCTAAACAACAATGTGGTATATATGCAATGATATCCTTTGCTAACTTCACGACTTCTTTTTTCACTTTTTTCAGGATTTTGCGCAAAAGTTGTCTAACCTATTTACCCAAGTGAAATGAAAACCTATATTCACACAAACACCTGTATGCAAATGTTTATAGTGGCTCTATTTGTAATTGCCCCAAACTAGAATTTACCCAAATATCCCTCAATAGGCAAATGGATGGACAAACTGTGGTGCATCTACACAAGGGAATCCTACTCAGCTATACAAAGGAACAAAGTACTGGTACACACAACAAAGAGCATGAATTACAAATGCATTACACTAAGAGAAGCCAGACTCAAAGGCTACACACTGTATAATTCCATTTATATGACATTCTGGAAAAGGCAAAGCCATAGGGATGGAGAACCAATTAGTGGCTGCCAGACTTGGGTCTGGGGGGTGGAGCTGACAACCAAGGAGCATGGGGAGATATTCAGAGTGATAGGACCATATCTTGATTGTGGTGGTAGTTGCTTGACTGCATGTGTTTGCTAAGACTTACAGAACTGTGTACCAGAAAGGGTGAATTTTACTGTATGGAAACTATACCCTAATACAAAAAAATAGAAAAACATGTCACCTAACCAATGATATTTTCCCTGACCACCCTTGTCAAATACCAACTCTCCACTCTCAACACTCCCTATCAGCCTTATCCCACTTCATTGTTTTCCCATGGCACTTATCACCCACCATATAACCAACTATGCATTTACTTGTTTATTTACTGCCTGCCCCTTCCCACATATAAAATGGAAGTTTTTGAAGGCAGGGACATCCTTGGTTCAGTGCTATATCCCCAGTGTGCCTGACACTGTATGGGTATGCAGCAACTACTTGCTGAATGAATGAGTGGGGTTAGCTTGAACTCAATTATGCATCCATCTATCTTCATCTCTGCAGACTGAGAAGCAGCACTACATCTGGCTTCAACATGGAATTGCTCTGTGACCATAGGCAAGTTAGACAACTTTTTGGATGGTCAGTTGTGCATCTGTAAAATGGAAAGGGTACTGCTACCAACTTGAATGCCCCAAAAGGACTTGTAAGGAGGGGATCCCTGATGGAAGCAATCTGAGGTCACAGAGCTGACTGTTACGAGTTATGTGTTTAAGCCCAGGGTGAGGACTGTCTCCACTGAGTTCACCCTCGCCTGCATTATTATTGATCCATTGATTCCCCCTAAAAAATTTATTGAGGGCCTACTATGTGCCAGCCAAATGCCAATCGGTACATAATTCTAAATTGGATACTGAGGAGAAAACTACATAAGACTTGTCCTCGTGGGCTCACACATGAAGATGTGTGATCCAGAGAAGAAAGGTTTTTGTTTTCCTTTTGCCATAAAGGACATTTATGGGGCAACTAGTAAAATTTGAATAAGGTCTGAAGATTAGATGATAGTCTTGTATCAATATTAATTTCCTGATTTTCATCATCAAACTGGTTTTACAAAAGATTGCCCTTGCTTTTAGGAAATGCACAGTGAAGTATTTAGGACATGATGTGTGCTATTTATTTTCAACTGCTCATAAAAAATCATATATAATGCTTTGTTATATATATACTTACCACAATTTAAAAAAATGTGTGTGTGTGTGTGTGTGTGTAGTTACATGTGTGTAGGGGGTGGGGACAAGGAGAAGGAAAGGAAGAGAGGGAGAAAAACAGGGAGAAGAGAAGAAAGGAGGGAGGGAGAAAATGTATGATAAAGTAAACTTGGTAACATTAATATTTGGAGAATCTAGGTGAAGTGTATACAGAATTATTTGTACTGTTTTTGTAACTTTTCTGGAAGTCTAAAATGAGTTGAAAATAAAAGTCAAATTAAAGTTTGCTTTTTTAAAAAACAGATGTGCCATCTAGCCAACATGATGTGGTTATTCAAATGAAGGAGCAAGAGAGAAACTGTGGGTTGAAGAGATGGTTAGGAAAGGCTAAGAGGTGGGACACAGGCTGGATCTTAAGACTAGAGAAGATCTTGACCAGTTGGATGGGAGAAGGGAGAAGTATCCCATACATCAGGGGTAAACAGCGGCTCAGAGTTGAGCATCAGGATGATGTTTAGTAGAAATGAGGTCACCCAGAGCACAGGGCTGGTGTCAGAGAGCAGTGGAGTAAAGAAAGTACGGCTATTTAAATTTAAATAAAATGAAAAATTCAGTTCCTTAGTCACACAAGTCATATTTCATTTGCTCAATACCCACATGTGGTTATACCATACCCACTGCCACTGAGCCGATTCCAGTTCATGGCAACCCTGTAGGACAGGGTAGAACTGCCCCATAAGATTTCCAAGGCTTACATCCTTATGGACACAGACTGCCTCATCTTTCTCCCATGGAGTGACTGCTGGGTTCTAATCACCATTCTTTGGATTAGAAGTCCAATGCTTTAACCACAGCACCACCAGAGCTCCTACTTTGGTTAGTAACTGCTATATTGGACAGTGCAGATATAGAATATTGCCATCACAGAAAGTTCTATTGAACAGCATTGGTCTAGAATGCCAAGTTTGAGAGTTAGAAATTTGTCCTGAGAGAACAGTGAGTTCCCACACAAACAGCAGTCAGGCTGGGCTAGAGGACCTATATAGATCTTCTCAACTTTTGAGGGACAGAGAAATTATTAGGAAGCTATCATGGTAATCTTGAAAGGAACTGATCAAAACCTAGCCTTAGTAAAGGAAAGGAGACAAATATGAGAGACAGGAAAAATTAAAGGGATTTAGAGGGGTTCAAGCAAGAGGGAAATACAAAGAATACATTGAGATTTCTTGCTTAGAAAAATGGGGAGAATTTTATTGATGGAATAAGGAATTTGGGAATGAAAGATGAAGACCTTGATCTGGTCATGTGAATTTGGTAGAGGACAGAATTGAATGTGTATGTGGGCTAGAACCCCAGGATCGGAAGTCCAGAGAGAGGTTTGTGAAAACTGGAAATAAAAGATTTCAGAATCAAACATGGAATTATAGTGGAAACTGTGAGGATGTGGTAGTTCTTTGGGGGAGAAGAATGCAATCAAAGGCAGGAGGAGTCCAAGGTCTGATCCCAGGTAGTGTCCACAGTGAGGAGCTGGGATGAAGGAGAGGGGCTGTGGGAGGACATTGGTTAGTGGTTAGACAGGTTCATGGAGGATTGCCAGTACACCAGGGGTGGAGGAGAATGGTACTGGGAATGGGTACGGCCAGCATTGACTGATACATGAGGTCTGAGAAGGCAGGTTCAGTGGGATGGAGGGGTCAGAAGTTACTCCAGAAGACTTGAGGAAAGTCAACTAACCAATCAAGAATTCTGGAGGTGAAAGGACAAAGAGAAATAGGGTATCATAAGAGGAATGTCAAGCTAAGGTTCCTTTCAAGGTTAAAGAGAAGAGTACAGACTTGAAGCAGGTCAGGACTTAGTGGAGAGGAAGAACTCCAAGAAGCTAGAGGAGAAGATAATCAAGGGAAACCCAATTCCCTTGGGAGTGGAGACAGGATGGGATATGGGACTGCTTGAGCCCTGAAGTCCCTGTCCATTTTCCTCCAGGACTGTTGGGATGAGAGAGTATACAACTTTGGAGAGAGAAGTCCTCAAGGGAAGAAGGAAGGGCTTCTTCCAGAACCAAGATCTAATCTCTTCTGGGAGGTAAGGCCATTTGTTCAGAGGAGTTATGTAGAGGGCTTAGGATGGGCTGGGGTGGCGTGTGGCAGGATGTGACAGATAGTGTCTGGGATGGTGAGCTAGAAGTCAATAATGAGGCAGGAAGCTGCCAAGCATGAAATCAGACAAATCCAAAATCCTGCTTTACACATGGAGCCCATGAGTAAATCTATATGGCTAGAAATAGAGCCCAAACTTAATATCTATCTTTCTGTGTTACAGTTAAAGAGGATTTAAGGCCAAATTTTTATGTTTGTTCTATAAATTTGAATTTGTTAACATTTGAAATTGGTTTGGTTCCTATTAGTAAAAACAATTTTAAATGTTAACAATGCTCTGTATCCTATTCCATACATATTTTATAGGACCATCTGCTGAAATCCATTAATTGTGTTCTGAGCTTATGTGGCTAAGCAGAGTCATGTGATTCTAAAACTTGGTCTCTCAGACAGCTGAGCTTGGTGAGTTGAGTGGCTAAGCCATGAACTCATTATCTTTTTCTCATATACATCTTGTGTCAACCAAACAAATCAGGGAACCTTACATTGTTTCCACTTTACGAAAAAGGAGCTGCTGTTTTTAGGTGCAGTC